CCGCAAAGCTAGCCTCTGCTCAAAAAAGAGGCAGAAAACTAGAGCTGCTCAAACATTAGCTCTGACCGTACTAATTACAGTTCATCATAGATGTTTACTCACTCTGCTAAATTAAGAACTGTCCCACGTGCCTGGATTGTCACCACCACATAAACAGTAACACTGTGCAGTCATGGTGTAAAGAGTCACACGCTTGTCAGCAAACAGTAACAGTTCATTAACATTTCTCAAAAAGCAAAGATTTCATCAATGACTAGCAAAGATCTGCTGGCCTGGCATTCACACTGAACCTGAGTTTGAGTTGCAAACCTGCTCCCCGGGCTTCTTAGATCTTGAGGAAATCCTGCCCACATCTGCTGTCTTAAGAACATCGACTGCAATAAGGACTTCCTTACTGAGGGTTTGTACAGCATCTGGCCCAGCAGAGATGCAACCTTTGCTTAGGGCCCCCAAGACACTGCTATAGTGGACATTTAACAGTAATAGTGGAACTAACAGCAGGAGGTAGCTGAAATGGGTCCTCCAGACTCGAAGACTCCTCTCTGTCCCCTGTAAGAGCAGCCAAGATTGTATCAAGCCAGAGAAACACGCGTGTTCTGATTTACCTGCTCCATTGCACCTGCTCACTGTGACACGGAGACTCCCAGATGAAGGATGGTGTGTGGTAGGCTTGGCAAGGGAGGTAATAGCTTAAGCAAGAATTTCTTTTGAATTCTGCTCTGCTGGGTTGCTGTTTTGCTCTTTTCCTTTCACTCTTTTCCTCCCCCGATTTTGTTTTTAACCTAAGCTCCAGAAGCATTCAGCAGCGTGACAGGGTTTAAGAAGTTAAAAAAAAGGTTGTTACAGTGCTGCCACTGCATCACGTGAAGAGGATAGCGCGATGCCTGTGTGGGCTGTGCAGTTGAGGGGCTTGGACATGACACAAAATTCCCGGTCTTTGGCAAAATGGCAAAAGGTCCCTATTAAAGACACGCTCTCATTTATTTTTAACAGGCCACTTAGAACCACATTCTGCTTTCTGTCATTGATTGTGTAAATCCAGAGTAACTCCACAGAAGTCAAGAGCAGCTAAAATCAGATCGCAGCCCTTGACTCGAGTTTGCTTCAGCCCCCTCAGCTTCAGGACAGATGGCTCCTGTCATTCCTACTCGTATGTTGGCTGTTTAGAGAAACACTTTTACCAACACTGACAGGCAGTGCTTAGAGTCCTGGCTACCTTTCTCAGATGCAGGCATATAACTCTCATAATGAGCCAGGTTTTCAAAAGGGAGTCCTTGAAAACCTGGCTTCCAGTTTTTCTGAAGGTCTGTCTGGTACGCTCAAGCCCGACAACCGTGCTCTTGGTAATGGGTATTTGTGATCTTTTTAATTATGCTGAATTTGTTGTCTGATAGCACTGATCATCTGGAGACCCTCAGGAAATGCACATCACTCATAAAAGAGGCCTGCTCTGAAAAGCGATGTGCATGGTGGCAAATTTCTCCTTGAAATGTACCTGTACAAGTAAGACAAAGCTGTGTTTTCCTACCGGCTAACCCAGACTCTACTCGAGCTCTGCCTGAGCGCCTTTCGTTTCACCCATCAACATCAGAGCCTAGCACCTGCAGGCTACGTTAAGCCCTTGGGACACCATGGCAGGCCCGATCAGGGGCAGCTGACTGGAACTGAGGTCTTTTTCTGCATGGGGGATCCAAGCCATCTGTGTAATGCCAGTGCAAGCAGACAAGGAGACTACTAGCTATGACTTGTCCTGAGTAGTTTTCCTCTGCTTAAATAAAAGAGGGTCTGCTGCATCAGTGCAAACTGCAGATCCCCACAGCTCTGCCTATCTCCCTTAGAAGAACCTACCATGGCAGCAATGCCCATAGCTATGTCCAGGCTAAATCCCTGGTGAAGACATTTATGTACTAAATGATGCTGATGAAGATGAGCAAGATGGAACTGAATCCTCAACTTATTCTCCTGAAACTTCCTGGGTTTTTCAGAGTGAAGATATGTTAGGAAACCCCATCCAAAGCTCAGTCAGTAGAAGGACTCTCATTGATTTCTGTGGACTTTAGAGCAGATCTAAGAGCAGTAAGAGCTTACAGCCAGATCCTCAACTACTCTAAACCGGCATAGCTCCTCTGAAATTTGCCAACACCAATGAAGGATCCTCCTGCACTGAACTCTGCAGACACAAGTGAATCAAAAATAGGGAGCCTAATCCTTAAGTCAAGAGCTGCCTTGATTGCACAGTTACATATCAGAGTGAAGCTACACCCTGTGCAGGAGGGAAAACTGCCCAGGCAGGCACATTCATCTTAATTACTGGGCCAAATATGACCAGCGTGAGGTTTCGTTTACTCAGGTTGTTCAAGAGAAAAAAAAGTCCACTGGTCTCCATTGCTAAATTCTGCGACTGGTGGGTAATTAAGGAGCTGAGAGATAAAGATAACAAGTAGTTACCCAGGAAATGACTCAGAAAATTAATCCAGTCTGCAAAGAGTAACCAACTCGCACTTAGAAAAACAACAATATTTAAATTAATTAAATAGAAGACATCTCCTTCGTGCTTTAAGTAGAAGTTGGAAGACACCAGAGCTACAGCTTATGTCCCCATGAGTGAAAATTTAATTGGAAAACTCTCCCTCCTTTAATTAAAAATAGAGAGCTTTCAGTAGTTTCTGCTGCCCTAATGTCTCCAGTCTTCCTAGTCCTCTATGATTTGTAAACAGTTTAACAGATGGAAGTGATATTTGAAAAGTCTCATCAGCAATTTGTCTCAGTCAGTGTTACATTTCTCAATCACAGTTAATAGTGGAAGTGGTTGGAGTTCTCTAACTAAAGGAAACACCAAAAAGGTACAGATACCATAAAAATAGTGTGGAAAAAGTCTACCAAAAGTAAATAAAGGAAAATACATGGCCCTGATAAAATGCATGCATTATGCAAATAGCTATAATTTAAACACATGCAAGGGACATTGATTGTACAGAACAGAATGAGCTAAAAATTGATCCCCTCTCCATATGCACTACATCAGTCTATTGCTACCGTATGTCTATAAGGCTATAACCCATAGGCTAGACAAGAGGTAGGTACCTCATGTTCAACTCCTCTGGACTGCTATACAGGCAATGTAGATTCACAGGGACCAAGTCCTGCAAGCAGCTATGCTCTTTTGTTATCATTAGTAGATGAATGGAAAGCACGGAGATGACCCACAACTGAAATGAATAAGAACAAGTGTTTGAAGAATCACGTACATTATTTATACCATACTACTACATAGTAGTAGTAGTAGTATATATTTAAAGCCAGCAACAATCATTATGTTCATTTAGTCTGCCCCGAACAGCACACACTACAGATTCACCCATGGATATGTGCATATTGATAGGACATCGTAAATAGCCTTGTAGGGCACAACCATCTGGTTACAGTAGATTGGAAATGATGTGCATAGAGCTTATAGTTGTATATTTCAGGCAATGAATGACAATTACAAATGTATAGCAGGGCCATTAAAATCATTAAATATTCTGCAAATATTTTCATACCACTGTCCTTGTGCGTTTAATCAGAAGACAAAATATCAGATTTACAAGTGGTGCTGCTAAAATCAGAGAATCAAAGTATTACAGAAAAGCGGGGCCGGACAAGACCTCAGGAGGTCATCTAGTCCAGCTCCCTGCTTAAGACAGGATCATTCCTCTCAACCACCCTACACAAATATTTGTCGAACCTATTCTTAAAACTGCACAAATGACCGTCTCACACAACAACCAGGAACACCCTAACTTGTCCTAGGTAAGACAACATTTTCCCAGTGTCGTTGTCCCGTGTACTAGGCACTGACATTGCCAGTTGTTAACCGAGCCTGAATCCCTCAAAGTCAGTGGAAAAATTCTAGTACTCAAACACTTAGGGTCACAAGCTTTTCATACTCTCTTGGAGAAGAGCG